CCACAACTCACATGAATACATACATACACACATACATATGAATGCATGCACATCCACACACATACATGCATCTTCGAATAAAAATAAATAATTGACTGTGGTGCATTAAATGCAGAAAACGCAGACGGAACGTACAACATTATCGCGACGAAATCCAACATTACCACAAATTACTAGCACTTGAATTACTTTCTATTGAAACTGGAATTACTATCAATACTTAAGTTACTAACACTTCTGTTCCTTCTACATACATTAACTGCCTTCTCGCCAGGAAGGGCCATAAAGAGATGTTGGATTAACAATCAAGTAACACGCGCGTACGATCGCCACAGAAAGAAAGTATTCATGCCTTTGTCATCGCCATGTGCGTGCATGACTGCGTGCATGTATGTGTTTGTTTGTATGAGAGTATGTGTCTATGCGTGCATGTGTGTGTTTGTATGTGTGTGTTTGTATGTGTGTGTGTGTGTGTGTGTTTGTGTGTGTGATAATGTAGTAACAATATAAGTAGTAGTAATGATAATAATAGAGAGATGATGAAATAGAAGAAATATTTATTAATATCGTGATGGTGACGACGACAACGATGATGATGATGATGATGATAACAAACCTAAAAAATTATTTAACAAACTGGCGACGAAGACGACGACGACCATGATGATAGGATATTGAATTGAGAGTTCAGTCAGCAGTGTGTTCAAATTATCTCATATAAGCAATTGAAAGCGTTTGATGAAAGGAAAGGGACTTCATTCTCGCTGACTTCTATTTGACTGTCTGACCGTCTCTTTGTTTGTTCGTGTCTGCGTCTTTATATGCGCGTGTCTGCCTCTGAGTATGTCTCATGATTACATACGTGTTTGTCTTTGTGTTGCTACTCGTGCCTGCATTTGTATTTGTTAATTTTTTCATTTTTGTTGATGTTTGTTTATTATTGTTTATAAGTTTTCATGTTTTTGCTGGCATTTAAACAACATGTGTTAGTCTTAACTTGTGCACATGTGTTGGCATAATTTTTCGTGTATATACATGAATGTTTGTTGTTGCATTTGTGTGTGTGTGTGTGTGTGTTGCTCTAGTTTAGATTTCCAACTTCTTGTTGGCTTTGTATGAATTCACATTTTGTTTTTTGTTTTTTTTTGTATTGCATTTTTTTACGAAATATTTTTTCCTGTTATAGTTTGTGGTGGATTTTTTAAAAATGTGGTTTCTTTTTAAAATATGAATGTGCCCATGAATAAGCGTGTTGTAAGTTCTATGTCAGCATTAATAAGTTGTTTGCAGAGATATTTCCTTTGGCCTATTGAAAACATATGCTACCTTTCATAAAATTGATTACGTACGTGTGCATGTGTATGCGGTTATGTGTGCGCGTTTGCATGCATGTGTACGTGGGTATGTATGTGTGTACGTGAATTTAATAAAATGTACAATTATTGTTCTGAATGATTTGACGTTATGTTCTGCTATCTCTTGCGCCAGTATATACAATTCATTCGTTATAAAATGTGTACCCATTATTGATGGTTTATGTGCGTGTGCGTGTGTGTGCGTGTGTGTGTGTGCTTGTGTCAGTGTGTATTGTTATTTGTTTTGCTGTCTACGTGACGGTATTTCAAAAATGTATGTTTTTTGCAAGCTTATCCTATGATTACAGTTGATTCAAAAAAGTCTGTAACTAGCTAGCACGCACACACACACAGACACACACACACAGACACACACACACACATATGCGAATAAGAACGAATACAATCTTTGAAATGAGGCATTGCATAATGTTGAAGTGAGTGCAGTTGCCACTACACTCGCGACAATAACCACTGATTGGTAAGAAAAGTAATTATGTGAGTAATTCTGGAAGAGCAAGTAGTAGCATTACGAACATTAAACGGTAAGTAATAACAAAAATACGATAGTCTGGTTTAATTTTGAAAGTATTGATAGTAACGAAAGATAGGATAATACTAAAAGTAGTGGTAGAGTAGAGTAGTAATAAATAGAATTTATTGTTTAAAATTAAGTAGAATACTTTTAGTAAAAGTGATACTGATCCGTTGCTGAATTAGAAATAATGGCTGTAGCAGCAATAGCAGTAAGAGAAACAGTAACAGAAGTACTGATACTATGAAGAATGTTAGTGGGTTAGTGGTTGTCAATGTGAGCTTATTTTAATGTACTCGAGAGGATCGTGTTGGCCTGCCTTCTCTTAAACATTATCTCCTATCTCTATATATTTAACTTGAAATTTTTACGGAGCATGAAATGAAATTTAAATTACGCCTCGCCCGTTTTATCTCGGAATTTTTTCATTTTTTGCAGCGCAAAGCTAGCGGTTCAAATGGCTTGAAATGCCTTTATTTTTTAGAAATTTTTTTTCTCTACGTGCCTCATTTATTCGAAATAATGTTTTTATTTTTTTAATATATTTACACATACACACACGCACACACACATAACCGCTCGCGCGCACACAAACACACAAACATATATA